GTGGCATCGGTGCTGCCCCAAGGACTGGCACCTGCTCTTAATTCTTTGCTGGGCCACTCTTTCTATTTGGGATCTTCACACGGTGACACAACTCTACATGTTTGAGTTGATTGCAGTTCATGGCCTACTTTGAAAGCCACATATTTGGTTAAGTGAGTGCAATATAAATACTGCAGTAAATAAGTTGTTTCAGAAAAAGAGGCATTCATGATTTAGGACTATCTTGTCCAAAGAGTGTTAATTTATTTATTTATCTCATAGGATTTATACACCTCTTGATTGTAAAAACAAAACAAAAAAAACTGAAAGTGGTTTACAAAATACAAAACTGTAAAATCAAGAAAAATTGCAACCCTACTTTAAGACATACCAAAGTTAAAACACTATAACAGATTAAAATTGCATCAGCTTTTGAAGCATCTGGGTAGGCTTGTCTAAACAGTAATGTTTAAAGCAGGTGCTGAAAAGAGTACAGTGAAAGCACCTGCTTGATTTCACTAACGTGTAGGCACTGCCACACTGAATGATCAAATTCTTACAACGGCGGAATCGCTGATTGTAATAGATGGTTGATTATCATTCAGAGATTTCTATCCTGGTCTTCTAATGCATTCACATTAATCAGAATGGCTTACTACAATCACAATGCCATAATCCAGAATAAAACAAAAAAATACAGATCAACGATATAAAAGCAGCCACAGTAGACACAAAAACAGGCTATAAAAAGCTGGGTTTCCCCCCCATAGAAGCTCATCTGTGCAGCACAACAAAAGCATATCAGAATTTGGAAGAAGTCAAACAAAGCTCCTGGTCATAAGGATCTGGCAGGCTGGCAAGGGAGGAGATGGCCCCTAAGGAGCGGATTAGGCTCTTTGTGTGAAAATAATTATCCCAGTACCTTATTCATAATATTTTAATGTTATGAATATGAAGCTATCGATTATTTAAAAAGGAAACAAAAATGTTATCATCTGTTCAGTAAATAGGAGGAAAGAACACATAACCTTTGCTACAATAGAACTGAAATTTTATGGCAAATTTAGTGCTTCTTCAATAATGAAAGACAATCCAGAAGCAAATCTTCCTGTATAAATATATACATGGATGAATGGAAAATTGAATCAATTTTTGCAATTATGAAAAGCACAAAAACACAAGTTCTGTTTACCTAATGAAGTTTTAGACTATTTCATAAGAATGAATGTATTTTTTGTGCTAATCAACATTTTTAATATCTTCTACAGTATTGTTTAGATATTATTCAGTATTAACCCATATTATTCACAGACACAGCAATCAGTGCAAAAAATTAATAAAGCGAAGTTGTTTCATACCACCGGCTAAATTATTAAAAATGCTCCTTCCTCTGGTTGTAACTCAGAACTGTTGGCTGTAATTTTATTGTTCTAAATCTAAAGAGAAACAATTTTCTCCCTTGCTTACTGCAGTTTAATCCAGGCAACAAAGCTTCTTATCTATGAAGGATACAGTAATCTGAACTACGTCAAACTCCAGTGGCATCTGTCACATCTTTTAAAAATGAAAAAGCTTGCTGAGCTGGCGACTTTGATTTTATAGCAACAGGCAAAGCAGCCTCGCTCCAAGTCCAGTATAAATGGCTAATTGTCTTGGATAATATTGCAGTAGTAAAGAATAAACAAGCAGTCCCTTCCACTGAGATACTGGAGTTTGAACACAAAGTCTTATTTTTTTCTATGAGAGCAAATCATGTGCCTTTTTTAAGGGGAACAATTGGAGAAGAAATGTCCCAGATGGGAACAGGGGTGTAGCTAGCTGCTCTGGCACCCAGAGTGGTGGGGGCAGGGCGGTCCGCACATGGGGCCCCCATGGTAAGTGCCGTCCCTGCAGTGTGCCATTTTGTCACCCCCTCAGGGATGACACCTGGGGCGGACCGCACCCCTCTTTCTATGCCCCTGGATGGGAATTACAGATGGAGGGGCTTCATCAACACTGATAATGAATATTTATAGATAGAGATTTCCCATTAAACAATGTTTGCTTTATTTTTGTAAGCTGCTTAGAGGGTCTATTTACAGTCATTTTGTTAAATAAACAATAAAATAAAATAGCTGTCCATTGTTGACAACTCTCCACCTCCACCCAAGAAACACAATCCCACTTACTTGTCTTATGTAACGTCAAAATTCACAGGGCAAATTCCGCTATAGGGAGGCAATATCCTTTTGCCATGAATTAGCTAGACTAAACATACCTTAAAAACACAATATGCAGTTGGTAGCTAGTGCATCACCAATTACATTAATGTTTCAAAAGTTGAATCAGCTACTCTCACGCCTCACCCCTGCTTTAATTCTTCCTGCCTTGGCTTGATGGAATTAAGTGGCCAGGCCAAATAGATTGTCTGAAAGAGATAATTGCAAATCAACTTTGGGATCAGTTGCTTCTGTTTGACTGATCCTGCATGGGTTCTTGGCCAGCACCTGATATTTCAGACTGTAAGTTTAGTTTCAGAGTGGTTGAATACAATGAACTGAGGCCCGTACAGCAGACTGTATCCAGTCTGGGTCTGAGACACAGCAGAACAGAAACTGAGATGGGGGCTGCCTGGGGTTGATCTTACTGAATAGGCTTGATAGTGGGCATGAATCCCCCCCCCTTTTTTCCATTGATCCTGCCTTGTTTTATAGATACGCCATATGTTGATTGTTTTTGATACCATCCTTTTCTCTGTCTAGTTCATACTTGTGTACTTTAAATCTTGATCCAGTCCCTCCTGTCAAAAGAGATTAGTAGATTTTGGCATTCCACGGGATGAGAAGATACTCAGTGATAGCTTGTTTTCCCAGATGAGGGTGTATTCTTTATCCCCATCAGAAATGTCTTAATCAGGTCAGATAACAACAGCTGTCTGGACATCCTCTCAAGAGACAAAAGCTTCTGCTCAAAATTCTGTCTGCATCAAGAAAGGAATGGTTGTTTGGTGCTCGCAAAGGTTACAAATTTATTGTGAAGGAGGGAGGTAGTTTTCAAAATTTAGATCCAAGCCACATTTGATTAACTTCTGTCACCTAGAAGCAATTATCGTAATCGGTCTCAGCTCCTTTTGCTAGACTTCAGGATGCACAATTTTTCCCCCTGTTTATAAAAGTATTTCTCTACCACCCTCTTGCAAAACATCAGGTACAACAACAAATTTTTTTAGCGATACAAAGCATCTATGAAACATGTAGTCAGAGAGACTATATATAACTATAAAAGATTCTATATTCTTTTGGAAGCCAGAGACTGGTCAAGGTCCAGAATGACCTACCACTACCAACTCAGTATGTGAGGACACGTCGCAGCCTTCCTCATATACCTCTAGAACAAGGATGGACAGACAACCTTTGGCCCTCCAGATGTTGTTGAACTCACATCAGCCCCAGCCAACATGTCCAGGGATTATGGAAGTTGGAATCTGACATCATGGAGGGCCACAGGTTCCCTGTCCCTGCAGTATCCCATTGTGAGGGTGGAGGCTTTTGCTTTTAAACAGTAAATAAATAGTAAAGAGTACTTAATGTAATTGTTTATAAGGAAACAGTTGAAGACAAGGTCAAAACCAAGTGATTTACTTTAATAATCAGGACCAGAGGATTATTGCATCTATATACTATATTGATTGGACATAAGCACCATGGCTTTAAAATAGAAAAAAGAGAGGAAAATCAGCTGTAAGCAGGTCAGAAAGTTGGTTATAGGCCAAATGGCAGCTCTTGCATTCACATATACATATCATAGTCTAAGCAAGATGCTTTAGATGACTAGTGGCAAAAAGCACATCCGTTTAATAACACTATAATATAACAAATGAAGTATGATTTGATATACATATAGGTATAGATATAGATAGAGACAGAGATATAGAGATATGTAGGCACCTCCCTACTTCCAAGCTCCCACGTGCATAAGTGAAATCATGTAAAGTGGGGAGCAGCCCATTTAATACAGAGGGCGCATGGGGAGAAGAGAGAGACCCTGGAAATCGGTTAGGGCCGCTGCCCAGCCTTTCCTGAACCTGCCTGCCTGGCTGCAGGGAGAAGAAGAAGAAGAAGAAGAGTTTGGATTTGATATCCCGCCTTTCACTCCCCTTCAGGAGTCTCAAAGTGGCTAACAATCTCCTTTCCCTTCCTCCCCCACAACAAACACTCTGTGAGGTGAGTGGGGCTGAGAGACTTCAAAGAAGTGTGACTGGCCCAAGGTCACCCAGCAGCTGCATGTGGAGGAGCGGAGACGCGAACCCGGTTACCCAGATTACGTGACTACCGCTCTTAACCACTACACCACACTGGCTCTCCAGTGTGCATGGTGGCAGCTGGCCATGGAGGGCAAGGGCTTATAAGGGCACACAGCAGAACTGGTGATATGACCTAGCATACAACGCCAGCTTAACTTAACACTGGCTTCCCATACATGGGATTGCTCCCTTGAGCCATTTTTGGGATTTTCAGCATTAAGGGAACCTCTCACGTTTCTCATCAAAACAAACCATCAAACCTTAGAGTTTAGTACTATCCTTCTCTCTTCTTCTCCCATTACCTGTTATGTCACCCATGCAGCAAACAGATTGTACATGTCACGGTGGCAATTAATAATATCCTGTGAAGGCTCCATACTTCCACTGCAAAAGTCATCTGGGCTAACAAAAATGGATAATGTGAATTCATCTTCACAGACCAAAAAATGATGTGCCTTAATGTCCCAAGTGATCAGGTTTCCAGTACCTTGAGCAGGCTGCAATTAATTTCCACTCACTATTAATCAATTTAAAATGCATTTGATATTTTTAACAAAAGCAATCATAAATCAAGATTAGTGTGTGTGTTTGTTTACTTTCTTTAAACTGGAAGTTGTTCCATTACTACCCCGTAAATCAAGTGCTGCTGTCATTATGTACCTTCTTTTAAATTAAATCAAATACTGCAGACGCTTCATGGTAACTCCTGGTAGTTTATTTGTTGTTCTTTTTCTTTCAGAGCTTGAGGCAGAAGAATGGTGCAAACATCTTTGTATAGAATGTCTAGGAACCAGGCTTAATGATATAAGCCTTGGTGAACCTGATCTACTTGCTGCTGGAGTACAGAGAGAACAAAATGGTAGGTTTTTAGGTCATCTGGTCTCATTTATCTAGGCTACTCTAAACATTCTTGCCTCAACTTGTAGTAATTCATTTGTGGTACCTCGGCTTGGTTCTTTTATCTCTGACAAAATCTTGGTATGATGTTCAAAGCCCAAATAATTTAAAAAACAACAACAACCCAGTAAATTGTGTGCCTATTTGTTGCACATGAAAATTGCACTGCAGTATAGGATTTGTAGTATTTATGACTGACAAAAAAGGTGATGTGGGATGTCATTAGCTTACAGCTTACACTAAAAAATTTTTTAGAAGATTATTAGCATTATTTAAATTTGTATACCGCCCTTTATCCAAGGATCACAGGGCAGTTCACAACATAAAAATACAAGATGAGAAAATAAAATACATAATAAAAAAATGAAAACAAACCAATAACCTCCCCTCCCACAAACACAAACCATCTTCAGGGGCAGCCCCACAAATAATGCATAGACAACAGAAGTTAGGCTATCCCTATTCATATAGGAGTGCAGCTGGGACGCCAGCTGAAGTTCATGGAAGGCACCAGAGAGGCTATGTGAGCCTCAAGTGACAGCAAAGGATCCAAGAGTGCTTCCAAGTGATGTACCCACTCTTTCAGAGGGAGTGTAGCCAACCCCCAACTCAGAAAGTCATCCAGGATACCATGGTTATTGGTATCAAAAGCTGCTGAGAGGTCAAGAAGAATTAAAAGGGGCATATTTCCCCAGTTTCACTCCTGGCAGAAATCAGCATACAGGTTAGCCAAAGCAGTTTCTGTGCCAAAACTGCACCTAAACCCTGATTGAAAAGGATCTAGAAATTCAGTTTCATTCAAGAGTGCCTGGATCTGGTCCATGACAACCCACTCAAGAACCTTACCCAAGAAGGGAACATTGGCAACTAGCTGGTAATTACTTAGATTTTCCAAATCCGGGGAAGGCTTCTTAAGGTGTGGTCTTACCACTGTTTCTATCAAGCAGGCAGGGACCGCTGTATCTCACAAGGAGGCATATTCTGAATAGATACCACCAAAATAGACGACGGTCATTATATAGTGTTAAAAAGAAAACCCTTCCTGGATTAATGCGCAGGAGATACCATGTATTTCAGAAATGCTAGCAGAATTTTCACAATAATGTTTGAGGTGTAGTCGCTGGAACTGAAGTACTGGGCCTGAACTTTGCTCTTTGCAAACTATGGAAAGTAAGTGTGTCCCAGAAGGGATCTCCATGAGCTATGACTATCACAGTAGCAGGTAAGCACTGATGGAGCTGCTGGTCACATAAGTGGTCTGAACTGAACGGAAAGCCAGGATTGATGCTTCAGTGCACCATTTTACTACATTGACAGTTGACTACTAGTAGAAATGAACACAATTAGCATGCTTATTGTCCTGTGGTAAATAAATGGGACGAAACAAACATGATTAGGCCAGCAGACACAAGGTCTCTGTGCAAGGCACACCCATAAGGAACCAAAGAGGTATGATTAGTGGCATCATTTAAAATGTAAGGAGTGAGTGAAATTGATGTTTCAGTAATATTCTGTGATGAATCATTAGGTACATTCCCTCAGACATTGCAATTTTGATAAATATCCCCCAGCGTAGAAATTTACATTTAAATTAACAGAGCTAAATCTGTCACCCTAACTCTAGAAAGCAAATCAGACATTGTGCTTGTATGTAGCAAGAGGACATGATGTAAACTGTTCATTAATAAATTCATTAGCTATGGGGAGAAATAGCATCTCTATAATAGGAATATAAATTTGGGTGAATCAACTTCAATGTATTCACCTGTACAAGTCCTATTTAAATGGATGGTAGCTTGTGCAGAAATTTCCAATGGAATTACATGTCCTTTGTTTGTTGTGAAACCCATAAAGAAGAGATTGTTCTTAACATTGAATTCCACCCTGTATTTTTCAGGGTTGTAAATATTCTGGTTGTAAATTGTTTTAACTGGTATTAATATTGCATTTTTATATTGTTGCCGTATGGTGAAGGGCAGGAAAGAAATCTGATAAATAACAACAGCAACAGCCACGCTGTTTAATTAATTTAATTTAGACAGGTGTTCATGCAGCACAAACCTTCACAGTTGTTGGAAAATGAAACTAATGGAGCAGTTGAAATGTGATGTGGGCAACTTGGGAAGAGGTGGCAAATAATATAAAGCCAGGACCTAAGCTGAACCTTGAATTATGCCTTTCATTGTTCTTACACAAATATTTTGGCCTCACTCTAAGAACATAGCCACATTTCCTTCTTTTCCTTCTGTATCTCTACTAACATCACTCTGTCATTGCCCCCCCCCAATTGTGTTTGTTTTCTTCCACTTCTGTTCATCTGCCTTTTCACTCTATTTGCACATCAAAGATCTGTAATGCAGCAGCTAATGGATGGTTAGCTGTGCTTTGTATCCAGCTTTCCATCTGGGATGATTTATGCAAAATGATATGATTAGAATCTGAAATCCTTTTGGTTTACAGTTGTTTTGCTTTATTGAGGTGAAATGGTATACACGGGTATGGGATTTAAAGAATGAGTTTGTGTTTTTCTTTTATTATTTAAATGATGATTGCCAAGTTTTCTGCATAATCGAAGTGCTTCATTTAGGCTTTGCATTGTTCATTCATTATGGCCTATGCCATGGTTTAGGTGGTCATCTGAACTGGGCTACAGTCCCTACAGAACAGTTCCATGTGTACGCTTAAAAGCATATTTGAGATACACTATTTTTGTTTTTTATTTATAAAAATATTTCTAAACTGCCTTGTTAAAAGATGTCATGATGATGTGCAATAAACATCATAAAATTATAAAACATAGAACAAATGACCAACACAGAATCAAGTTAATTGTCTGAAAAAGCTGGGGGGGGCGGGAATTCCGGTCCAGGATGAAATATCAAAATTGTAAGTGTTAAATAGGAACAGTGTTCTAAAGTACTGCTGCCATTGCACTAAAGGCCTTAGTTTGTGCAGAAACTAAACACTGGGACAATCAGGGCTTATCTAGATAATCTCAGTGATAGGACTGGTATGTTAGGGACAAATGGTCCTTAGAGTAACCTGCAATTAGCTACAATTTCTAAACTAACCTAAAGGGTAGTCCCACATAGAGAGAACTGCAATCGTCCAAACTAGCAGATGCCAAGGCATTCACCCCTGTGGCCAAACTATCCCTGTCCAGGAATGAGCATAGCTGGTGTACCAGCCAAAGCTATAAGAAATCACTCTTAGCAACTGGGGACACTTCTGCCTCCAGTAATAGTGATGGTTCTAAGAGTAGTCCGAAGCTGCAGTGCAGCCCTGTCAAGAAAAGGCATCCTACTAATTTTCTAAACTTGGGAATGACTAACCCACGGGTTTCTGTCCTACTAGGATTGAGCTTCAGTTTCACTACATCTGACTAGATCTGCTAACCAGCCATTATTTAACTTGCCTTGCAAGTAATATACAGTGGTGCCCCGCAAGACGAAATTAATTCGTTCCGCAATTTTTGTCGTCTAGCGAATTTTTCGTCTTGCGAAGCACGGTTTCCCATAGGAATGCATTGAAAATCAATTAATGCGTTCCTAGGGAAACCGCTTGCCAGGCTGGCGGTGCGGAGAAGGGCTTTTCTCCCCACCGCAAGCCTTCAGCACAGGTACGGGAACAGAGGGGAAGGCGCGCAGCGCTTTCCCTCTGTTCCCGGGGCTTGCGTGGGAGGAGGGTTTTTCCTCCCCACCGCCAACATTCAGAACAGCATTCTGAATGTTGGCGGTGGGAAGGAAAACCCTTCTCCCACCCCAAGTCTTCAGGACAGCCATCCGAAGGCTGGAGCGGGGAGAAGGTCTCTCCGCCCCCCCCCCCACGCCAGGCTTCGGTGCATCCTTCAGAGGCTGCTGCCATAGTCACGCGTCACTTCTCCAGCTGGGAGAGGGTCGCGGGGCTATGGTTTCTTTAGCCCCGCGCGCGCTCTCCCGGCTGGAGAGGTGACGGGCGCCTATGGAGGTTCCTGCCATATGCGCGCGTCACAACTCCAGCTGGGAGAGGGTCGCGGGGGGCTGGTTTAGCCCCGTGCGCGCTCTCCCGGCTGGAGAGGTGACGGGCGCCTATGGAGGCTCCTGCCATAGGCGCGCGTCACTTCTCCAGCTGGGAGAGGGTCGCGGGGGGCTGGTTTAGCCCCGCGCGCGCTCTCCTGGCTGGAGAGGTGACGGGCGCCTATGGAGGTTCCTATGGAGCTGTTCCTGGAACAGCTTTCCGAAGTGGGGCGGCTGGGGCAGATGTCCCCGCCCCCCCTCCCCGCTTCGGAACAGCTTTCCGAAGTGGGGCGGCTGGGGCAGGTGACCCCGCCCCCCCCGCCCCACTTCGGAACATCTGCAAAAGACGTCAGGGGGAAGCGGGGAAGCGAAGCGCTTCGCTTCCCGCTTCCCCCGGACCTCTTCTGAAGCAAGGGGCTGGGGGGAGATCGCTATCTCCCCCCAGCCCCTTGCTTCAGAAGAGGTCCGGGGGAAGCGGGAAGTGAAGCGCTTCGCTTCCCCGCTTCCCCCGACGTCTTCTGAAGCAAGGGGCTGGGGGGAGATAGCGATCTCCCTGCAGCCCCTTGCTGCAAAAGACGTCCGGGGGAAGCGGGGAAGCGAAGCGCTTCGCTTCCCCGCTTCCCCCGGACGTCTTTTGCAGCAAGGGGCTGCAGGGAGATCGCTATCTCCCCGCAGCCCCTTGCTTCAAAAGAGAAGACCCGCTGTCCCCGGGGCAAGCTTCGTTTTGCGAAGCAAGCCCATAGGGGAATTCGTCTTGCGAGGCAAATCGCGGACGAAAAAACCTTTCGTCTAGCGAGTTTTTTGTCTTGCGAGGCGTTCGTCTTGCGGGGCACTACTGTAATGTTCCAGCATGTAAACAGGTATCAGAGAAGTAAACCCCAGTAACCTTCAGAATGGTCCTTACAAGAATGGTTTGAGATGAAGCTGTTATTTTCCATCCATGAGCTGTCAGGTGTATTTTATTTATTTATTGTTTAGGTTGTATCTCTGATCAATCATATTTGGCCTGTTTATCTTCCTGGGTTCTTCCCAAGAAGCCAGTATTTGTTTATCTATTTAACTTAGCGATTATATATCTGAATTGGTTTATAGAGAACATTCTACTCCAAAGCAATTGCTAAATAGTCCAAACCAAACAGAGGATCTCATTATCTGTCTCCCTCTCCCTCTGTCTGTACCAGGGTGATTTCATTTTTCTAAACAAATTCTGTCTCAACAACTTTATTCTAAATTTGTGTCACTCCCTTTCTGCAACTGAAAACACATTTGTTAGCAAGATCCAATAATGTTTTGTGTATATATGTCCTTTAGCTTTGCTGAAAAACTCAGGGAATGGAACAATTTTCTGTAGAATCTTTTCAGTGCCTTGCATCATTTATGGATGGTTATTTTCTGTTAACTTTTTAGCCACTTGGCTCTATTCCTGTAGTGTACCAATGCATAACTTTTTGTCTCAAGTCCTGAGTAATCGCTGTTGCTTCTGTTTCTTTGCCTTGCAGCTGATGTTCAATTTAATCATGAACATTTCTTCTTAATCCATGACACCTCACCTTAGACACTGACCTCCAATGCAGAGCAGACAAATGTCTCTTGACATTTTGAGTATATCATGTTGCCTGAATGCCCTTTTCCAATAACATGCTTGAATAATTAAAGGAAGCTATGGGTTTTCTTCCTTTCTGTTGAACTTTTAGGTTTTGACTGTATTTTTTGCCCCACACCCAGAATGAAGACTTGATACACGGATTGGTTAAAGGTTATATTTATTGAAATATAACAAGGAAGACTTGTGCCAATACAAACAGAAGTGTAAGCTGGTATAACCTATGCTAGCAGGCAGAAAATCTCATGCTTGCTGCTAAGCACCAAACCGTCTCAGAGCAACTCCATCACCCAAACTGAAGGGAGGCAAAAAACATATTCCCATAAAGGGAAACCATATGTGGATTGATTGACAGGTGCCAGCCACCCCCGCTGCTCAGCATTCAGAAGGTGGCACCTATGAGGCTGCAAGACCACCATACCAAGCTGCCCCCCCCAAAGCCATTCAACAGTGGTGGTCCTTAGTGGAGTGCCCCCCACTCAACACTGTAAATCTGGTTACAGATGGAAGACCTGAATAATCAGTAAACAAATATGCTGAAAACTGTGAAAATCAGAAATACCATATGAAATCAGAGTATTCTGCAGTGGAGACATGGCCTTTCATACTTGGGATTTAGTTTTAAAGTACTTGTTGCAAGACTGACACCCATTAGTGTGATTAATGAGAAATATAGCCTCAGAGGAGAGGATGGATAGCCGTGACATTGAGTGAATCAGCTTAGGAGGTATCACTGGGACAAAAATTAAATGGACTGAGACAGAAAATAACATTGAGACTAACAAATTTACTTATAGCCATATGGGAGCTTTAATCTTTGACATATACATAAGAATTCTTTGGCCACATAAATTTCTCAAAAAAACTTTTCTCAGTCTTTCTCTGGTTTATTTCAGGCTTGTTTTTCTATCACCTGTCAAAAATTGCATATCATTTTGGAGTGATATGCAGTGAGTTGCAACTCCTTTGTAATCCCTAGCACTGGTTTTGCTGATTCTGTACAAGATTAGATCCTGCATTGAATTTTAAGTTATTAAAACCTCACTTTTTTAGGATAATCCTGTTAAATGCTAGGTCATATATGACTTCAGTATCCAGAGATCAAGACACAAGCTAATGCTTAGTGGTTTGCATGTGGGAGCCAGAGGTAATATATGTGCTATGATTACAGAAAAGACTAGTATTAGATGAGCTGAAATCAGTAATGGAGGTCCATCTAAAGACACAAGTGTTGTCAAGGATAAGACAGTTGTTGGTGGAAGAGTCCATCTGGAAGAAAATGACAGTGGTGAGTGATGGACAGCTATGCAAAGTTGCTGTGATGCTGGATCACAGCACTACTAGACCAAGCCTGTAACCAAGATTGAGAAACGGAATCCATGTGGGTCTTCCAGCAATGAAGTCACTTGTTTAAACCCTACATTCTTAGCAAAATATGCCTCTGCATTCTGAAGCACTAACACCACATCACCCAAGAGCAGCAAGCTTTTCAAGCTCGAAGTGTGATGCTTGTTTTTTAATCCAGTCAAATACAGTAGCAGTGCTATTATCTTTGGAACAGATCTCCAAAATTGTGAATTGGGTGGCAACAAAATTCTGCTGCTGTGTTCTTTCTCCCACTCTCAGCCTTTTGAGGCCTAGATGCATTTACTATGATAGCAAGAGGAAGCCCACAACCTAAAAAGGGACTGAATCCTTCTTCCTTCAGTTGTGGCAATGACAGTGCTCACTAGAAGCAGAAATATATACTGCTGCTGCATTTGATAGCCGTAGTAGTAGTAGTGCATTAGTACTTGTTTGTTCTCAGTGTACAGGAATCATATTGAGCTGATATAGTATGTAGTCTTAAATAAAAGTCTTGTTCTAACTCAGTTTTTTGAAATATTTTTTGGGGTAGAATACATCAACACATTGCCTTAAAATGTCATCATTCTAAAAGAAAATATTAGATAATCCAAAATTTTCCAATTTCAGGGAGGAGGGGGAAGCTTTGGAAAAAAATAGGGAAATGTTTTTTCTGATTTTTATTTTATTTTATGTTTTAGCTTCCCCTCTCCTCCCAGCCCTAGGCCTTCACATATCCACTCCCAAAATCTCTATATTTCCATATTCTTGGGCTTATGCTGGTCCACATGTGCATAGAGTAAGTAATATGTTAACTGAAATTTCAATAATACCTGATAAACATGGCTTCTAAGACCATCACCTACTGTTACATCTGAAAAGGAGCTGTCACAGACAGTGCATCTGAGTTATGTGACGTGACAATATCTCCCAAAGTGGAAATATTGGGAGGCAACTGGTAAAATCACAGAAGTGGAAAGAATGTGATCTTACCATCTATGAAGATTACTTAGATGTGATGTGGAAAACCTGTGGATCAAAGTTTCGGTAGTGGGGGGGGATGGAATAGCCAATAGTAAGGAGACAATTTGGGTTGTGACAAAAGCATAGGGGAGGGTTTAACTCTACATGGTATTCTTAATTAACCACTTTCCTCCAAAGCTTCTATTGGTATCTAAATGAAGGCATACAGGTACCTGACCAAAAAGAAAAATTAGTTCCATTGTGCAGTTTCATCTTACATGTTTTCAGATTTTATTTTTTAAAAAATAATAATAATTAGATTTTCCAGAATTATAACAAAAACCACAAAGCAGAATGACACACAAAAACAGAAACAAAAAAAGAAAAATACATCAATGAACGAAAGAAGAATAAACAAATAAACAATAACAACAAACTTAATTCTTTACAAATCAAACCTTTTAAACATCTTGGTTGACTTCCTCTAGTCCCTCCCTTCTGAGTTTCCTTGTAGTTAAAAGTAACAGCTTTCCAATATCATTATTAAACTAAAACAATTTCCAATTATAGTCCATCTTATTCACTTTTCTTAATATTCTAAATCCCATTTATTTAATTATAACTTAGTTTAATCCTAGGCCTATTTGTTTCTTTCAAGTAATTCCTAATTTTTTATATTACAATATTTATTCAAATAGTCCTTAAATTTCCTCCAGTCCTCTTGAAACTCCTCTTCTTTCTGGTCGCGGATTCTTCCAGTCAGGTCAGCTAGCTCTGAAAAGTCCATCATCTTCATCTGCCAATCTTCCACTGTTGGTAGTTCTTGTGGTTTCCAATTTTTAGCAAGTAATATTTGGGCGGCCGTTGTGGCATACAAAAATAATTTAACATCTTTCTTGGGCAATTCCAAACCTGTTATTCCAAGAAGAAAGGCCCCTGTTTTTTTAATAAATGTATATTTCAACATTTTTTTCAGTTCATTATAAATCTTCTCCCAGAAGTATTTCACCTTGGGACAAGTCCACCACATATGGAAAAAAGTACCTTCTTTTTCTTTACATTTCCAACAAAGGTTATCACTATTGTGATAAATCTTTGCTAGTTTTACAGGGGTCAAGTACCATCTATACATCATCTTCATAATATTTTCCTTTAACATTGTATATGCAGTGAACTTAACCCCTTTCTTCCATAGCCTCTCCCAATCCTCCATCATTATATTATGTCCTTCTCTTGCCCAATCAATCACATCTCTTGCCCAATCAATCATAACTGATTTAACTTGTTCATCCTTTGTATGCCACTCCAACAACAAATTATAAATTTTAGACATATTCTTAACTTTAGTATCTAACAACTCCGTTTCCAATTTGTTTTTTTCTGTTACAAAACCATTTCTCTTATCCAACTTATATAATTCATTAATTTGATAATATTGCAACCAATTCACTTTGTCTTTAATTTGTTCAAACGGTTTTAATTTAAAACCTTCCTGATCCTCTAACAGAAAATCTGAGTACCTCAACCATTTGTTTTCCATATTTAACTTTTTGGGGGCCTGTGCTTCCATTGGCGAAATCCATTTTGGTGTTTTTCTTACTAAGAGATCTTTATATCTAGTCCATGTTTTCAGATTTTCTAATGAAATATGTTGATGCTTTGTTTGGTTTTCCCCCCTTTGGAATAAAAAGGTCCATCACAGTAAAGAAGCTCTTTCAAAATAGCTTGCTAATTGAAATTATTAATGCAATAAGAAGAAGCTAATGATATCATTTTATGAAGGTCACTGACAACAGACAGTGTTTAACTGTTACATTATGCCATTGAGCATCTGTTACTAATGATAAAGAGGTCTCAGCTGTGCTTCCAGATGTACTATGAGCTGTCTTCTGAGAGAGTTGCATTGATGTATTTAAATGGGTTTATTATTTACATGCTTGTCACTAGACTGAAAGGGAATTATCATCATAATGCAACTTAGCTCACTATTTTCACCATGATTTTCCACTCCTTTCCAGAGCGCTTCAATGTTTACCTAATGCCTACACCAAATTTAGATATCTACGGAGAATGTACAATGCAGATTACACATGAAAACATCTATCTCTGGGATATACACAATGCCAAGGTGAAGCTGGTGATGTGGCCTCTCAGTTCTCTGAGAAGATATGGGCGGGACTCAACATGGTTCACTTTTGAATCTGGAAGGTAAGAGACAATTATGGAAATATAGTAAGTAGATTGACTCATATGGAATAATGTTTTATTATTGCCATGATGGGACATGAAGCATCAGTGGACACTTTTAAGAGAAGTTGTTATTTTTCTGTCTGGAATTTGATTTTTTTTTATTTCTTTTAATGAAAGAAGTTCTAAAGAAGTTCCAAACTTTCTTTGACTTTTCACATCAAGTATACATACCTGACAACTGAGCACCAGACTTCATGCACTTGATGAAGCAGAATTTAGTCCATGAAAGCTTGTCTTGCATCTAGTAAAAATGGAAGCGTGTCATCATGTAGGCCCTACTGGAGGATTTGTAGTGCCTCTTCACAATCCTGGATTTGCATTAAATCAGGGAGGGGGAGGGGAATCAAACTGAAGGCAGGTTGCACAACTGCAGTGGCCATGGCATGGAAGCCCATCCCTCCTCCACCACCACCCTTGCTTTACTCAAACTTCTGTTATTGTTTAAAACAGCTACTTCTCCCCCTTTCATTGACCTTTCCTTTTCACTGTTCTCAAACTTCTCCTTCCTTTCCTGCTGCCTCTTATCAAAGAGATAAGGAGTCCAGAGCCCTGAAAATTCCATAGAGCCCTCACAGAATGTATTTCACTCCTTGTACCATATGTTATCTCCACCATGAAGCTCCAGATTCCCTGTTTCTATTTAGAACATATATTTCATTAGGAAGCAAATGCCCATATATTTACAGCATCCGTCAGCTGAACTTCACCTTCTCTAACTGAACAGCCTGAACTTGCCATTAAGATTCTTTTCATCTTAAAGATACAGTAGCGTATATGATCATGGGATATGTGTGCAAAGGGGGACTGCAGAGGGAGAGAGAGGAGGGGACATGGAAATTGGAGGTGTCTGTGTCCAAGGGAGAGTTGAGAAAAGGAAGGAGGAAAAAGGGAATAAAGGTGAAAATGCAGGTAAAGGTAAAGGGACCCCTGACAGTTAAATCCAGTCACGAACAACTCTGGGGTTGTGGCGCTCATCTCGCTTTACAGGCCGAGGGAGCCGGTGTGTGCCCACTCCGCAGACAGTTTTCCGGGTCATGTGGCCAGCATGACCAAGCCGCTTCTGGCGCAACAGAACACTGACACCAGAGCAGTGCACGGAAACGCCATTTACCTTCCCACCGGAGCGGAACCTATTTATCTACTTGCACTTTTTGGGGTGCTTTCGAACTGCTAGGTTGGTAGGAGCTGAGACAAAGCAACAGGCGCTCACCCCATCGCGGGGACTCAGACTGCTGACCTTTTGATTGTCAAGCCCAAGTCTCAGTGGTTTAGACCACAGCACCACCATGTGGGGGAAGGTGCAAAAAAGGAGAAAGTAGGAGGCACGGGAATGGGAGTGAAAGTGGGGGTGTGAAAAGAGCTGCAGAATATGAGGCGATGGTGGCTTAATCACTGGGTGGAATGTGAAAAGAGTGCTTTGTAGTTGCAATGTATGGGGAATAAGAAGCAGGAGGTTGCCATAATAAATTTGTTATAAAGTTGCAATAGGACCGCTTGTTGTTTTTGCTGCAACACAGCTACCCTCTGGGAGTTTAGACACTTAAATACAGCAAATACAGAAAACTCCATTAGTCTGTGTGCTTTCCAACTTAGCAAAAGGTAGTGTACTTTCCATAATAAAATGGGATGAAGCATAAGACATTTCAGTTTGATGAATAAGCAAACATGCTTAAGTTGGCAGCAGACATAAATTCTACATGTTGTAGTTGTGGTTTTGAACACACATTATCTATGCTGACAATGCAGCAAATTTGTGTCAGTTATCCATATTTAGGTGAAGAGGGAAGAGCTTTTGAGCCTAGAAGGTGTGATGCCAAATGGTAAAAACCCCTTTCAGGCATTTAAACCATTTATAATAAACTTTTGAGGAATGCAGCATGTTGATGGCAGATTTGACCATCACCACAGATGCATTAATTAGAATGTCTGTGGACAACCCACGTGTCCAGCTGTGGAGTATTCTTTGCAAAGGAGCTGCAAACCCTTTTGCATCTGCATACGTAGGCCCTCTACAGACATTATAATTAACATGCTTAGGTCAGGGTCAGACTCTTCAGTCCACATTTTAAATGCCTAAAATGAGCTTTTTCAGAACATAACTGCTCAAGAGCAGGAATCAGTTCTGTTATTTGGTCTTCCCACTGACTGTGTCTAATAGTTTCATTACCAAGAAGGGAAGGGAAGGATGATAAAAACCTAAAAATAGGCACAAGAATATAAATTGCAGTTCCCAAGCCATGAACTTTTTCGTATCACAATTGGTGTGCCTGAAGTCAGTGTGCTTTAGCTCATAAAGATTCAGCTAAAACTTTTGTGAATGATAGAATCTGGGAAACTGGACTGTTAACATGAGCCAAAAATATTAGAGCAACCAGTAGCATAAGTAAGGGTTATCATGCTCAAGTTGAGGAATACCTACTTAAGTTTTCAAAAAGATAAAAAAAAAATCTTACAACAATTTGTCATAGACTTTTATCTTTCCAATTTGTCACTTTTGTTCAGGAATTGCTTGTTCAGGAATTTATTGCTTTGTTCTGGAATTTATCGCATGGTAGCAGCTGTTTCAGACATTCCTGGTGTCAACAGAACTTGTTGGTGACCTTGGGGCAGTCACTCTCTCTCCGCCTAACCTACCTCACAGGGCTATACTGAGGATTAATGGGGGTAAGAAGAACCATGTACATAACTTTGAGCTCCGTTCAGTAAAAGGTGGCATATAGAAGTACCAAGTAAATAAGAATTGACTTTATCACCCATCTCTAGCAATATCTAATATGTGTCATGCTCAGAACAGACCTATAAAAAGGAATGGAGATGACTTTTTGAGATTCCTGCATTATACCTTCCAACTCTACAATTCTGTCGTTCTATAAACTAGCAGCAGCTTCATGTGGCATTGCCACATAAACTGTGGGCATTTGTATACGTCCATGCAGAGTATGTAGCCAGATGCTGGTGATGAGCTTTCAGTCTTGTAGCTGTCCATGGTGCTGATTAAAGGAATCTACCAAAAGATGAAAACTCTATTGTCAGATTTAGCTTGGCCCTGATTATGGTGTGTGGGGGGGGGGCTATTGTAAGTTTCTTGCTGTGGATTGCCAACTATGGTAAACTGTATAAAGTAATAGTTTTAAGTAGTGCAGACAGATAAGCAAAGATTAGAATAACCCTTCTGTTTTACCATTTAAGCAAAATGTGGCATTAGCTCAAGGGATAACATTTAGGAGTAATACACAATCCTTCTTAAGCTCCAGAATCAATGTGTGAAAAGAGGCAGAAGAGACATATGTGAGCATGGGGACTTTTTTAGTCTTCAGAAGGGACCTCCTTATATGTATATAAATGTAGTAGGTTTTGTGAAACTGTTGGTTGTTGGCATCCAGGATAAATGAGGGTTGAAATAATGAGCCTGTCTTGCTCAGCATTAGGCTTTGGAGAGAAAGACTGAATTAACATCTTTATTTTGAGGTTTGTTGAGTGTAATTTGCTATACATTCAAGGTCTCTTTGCTATATTAAAAACAAATGTTTCCTAGATCCGATTGAGATTGTTTATTGTCATTTGTTGCCGTATTGGCTTAGGTCATTTCCTTGAATCACCTTGGTATAGAAAACAATGTTTGCTCATACACTTCGCTTGCAATGTAAAATAAATTGGAATACTGTAGAGAGAAATGCAGGGAGGATCAAGCTTTGGAGCCTGGAGTTGGATTGGCAAACTTGCAATAATTTAACTGTATGGTTTTAAAGTAACAGTAAATGGCAAGAAGTAAAATTTCAAAGTCTTATTTAACATCACTGTATCAATTGTTGCTATGAATGTTTGTCAGGTAAACTCTTGAATATGGGCTTTGGTTCAACATTTGCAGTCGTGATGTTGACGCACCTTGTTTTGATGATACGCATGCCCAAACATTTTCTGTTCCATTTCATGACAGGCAAGCTTGATATTATTTCATTTCAGTGGTTCAGAGCTTGGTTTGGAGGTAGTGATACTGCTTTCAGGTGGTGGTAAATGTGTGATGTTATATGTATATCCATATGGGATAATTTGTGCATAGTTCTTCAGTTAACATCAGTCCTAGTATTTCCCTCCCTCTGTCCCCTGCAGAATACCCCATATGGTTGGCATCTGCTAGGTGGAAAAACTAGAGGAATGAGCAGACAGTGCTGGCTGACATCCTTAACTGGCCCTCAGGGACCTAAAGACCTAGACTGCAAAACCAGGGTCGTGAGACTGTTAGGGCCCTGCTGTGATCAGCTGCTTTGGGAATTAGAGCCATGGCTAAAGGCAGGGCAGGTTGAATGGTAAGTTTATGCATGACATAAAAGGATTGAGAGACTCTCCGTGGGCATCCATCTTCTGCTGTGTGCAGTCAGTATCTTGAGATTGCCACTCTTGAAAGTCAGACAGCTGCTGATATCTGATAGCACAGTTGGCATAATATATAGGGAAGTTTTTAAACGATTGCTATTTCCATTTACCCTAGGCAGCACATCCACAGAAGACTAATGATATATCTAGATAAGTGGTTGTACTCCTCACTGTTATCATGTTCTGATGGTTAGAAATGTTAAAAATAAATATAAATAGATAAATTGGCTTCTTTTGCCTTGTAAAGAAAAAGGAGTGGAAAGGAGTACAACATATATAATCCAGCAAAAAAAGAAACTGGAACAGATGAAAAATACAAGTAATGGGAAAAGATGATCACAACTTTTTCCCCAAGGTGGACCAAGAACTAAAGATGTCATTTCAGTACCATAAACATTTAATGCAGTATGTTCACTTTTAAACTTGCTGTGTTATCATATTTACCACATTTCCTCCTACAATCCTACAGAGAAAATTTAGCGTTCAAGTTAAGCTAAATTCTGCCCTAGCATATGGCCATGCTCTGGTCTGTAGGGCCACAGGTTACAACCAGGTCACAAACAGATTGCAACTTGTGACAATTG